AAAGTAGCCATTGATAATATCTAAACAATATGTAGTAGTATAGTATATAGTATCCAAATCAAAATGTAATAAAATTAATTTATGTGTGATTTATGTGTAAATTATGTGCAATGTCTTAGCCACTAGGGATTGTTATATAGGGCTATACAGGCATCTAGTGGCAACACAATGATATTACAGATACTAAATTGTGCAAAATGTTTATCTTAACAGTCAATTTACAAATAATGCATTCAGATTTATGGAACTCAATGCACTGAATCTCCACAAATTAGTGTCGTTACTATGACAACCAATTTGAATGTGGCAAGCAACTGGTGTCTGAAAAGAATTATATATATATATATATATAATTTGGGGGTGGCAATAGGGATTCCGCCTAGGGCGTCAAATTGGCTAGAAACGGCCCTGAGTGGTGTGTGTGTGAGCAAGGCCCCAGCGCGATCGAACAGCTGAAACATAAAAAAGTTAAAAAATGTTTGGTCATACAGAAAAGAGTAAGTTATAATCCGCAAAAGTATTTACTTTTATTTTTGCACACTCACAATAAAAACAGAACATTTGTGCTTTGGTAAAATAAAGCAAACAAACAGGATGCGCATTGTCATCTCTGTTCAGGTTTCCTTTCCGTGAACTTGTTTATGGAGCGCCGCGCCACACATCTGTTTTAAATCTGTTAGCTTAATTAAGTCAGAGATATTTCGCATATTTTTTTTATGAAAACAAATTATTTTTTATTTTAGGCCTATTTTTAATGTAACTTACATAGGCTATACATTTTCCTTAAAGCATCCCATTTGACCCAGGGTTTGAAAACCTGTGCCCTAGTTAGGTCCTACAGAAACGTGTGAACGATGCTCTTATAGTTGTAGCATCACAGTTTAGTGACATCATTGAATGCTCCGGGAAAACGTATTGTCAAGTGTCGATCACATCGCCTTTTAATTGCTGTTTTGAATCCGGCAATTATTTATTTACAAATTATAAGCTCCGATTATGACACAAGTGAGGTATAAAAGCTTTGTTTATTAGAGGAATAATTAGTTAGCTGGCAAATGTTACATCGCGACGATGCTTTTGGATGCCGTTCGAGCCCATATAGCCTACATTTATGCAGCTTGCGTTCTGGTTTGCCGGTTGGTTACGAATGTCCACAAATTTAATCATATTTATTGTTTCTTTTCCTAAATCCTCACCGTCTAACCCTCTAATTTCGCAGGTTTCTTTTATTTTCATTTATTTTTTTATCACTGTTTTTGCATCTCTTACTGTGGTAAACATGCGGAAGGGAAATGAAAGATTTCATGAATTAAGAATTAATTCGATTTATTAATTCGTTCCCTCATTTTAGTTCAATCATGGGTTATTTAAGGAACAAACTAAATGAAACATGGACAGTGGCCACAAATTAAGTCGTAGGAACGAATTAACAAGTTGTAGGAATGAATAGCCTATCTGTCCTGTGTCCCACAGCCCTGCAAAGCGCAGAGCCCGATGAAACTATTATCTGGGGAAATGACTTGGTTACTACATTTCTATTGCTTTCCATGTTGAAGAACTTTGTGTTGTTTCTATTTCAATGTACTATTAAAGTTTAAATCACATTAAAATCCTAATTTGTACACTATGAATGAATGAATGATGATGCATTTATATACAGTCACTGTGGCTACGTCTCCAAGATGCTTCAAGATACCTTCCTGCAAATGCTCCCTGAAAAACTCATGATTCTCAAAAAACTCAAAAAATGCAAGTGCACCGAGGGCAAAAGCTGATTTAAACACAAAGGATGCTCAAACTAAATGGTGATTTAATTTAGTTAATAGAAGTTATTTGATAAAGAAAATCTATTTATGACATTATTTTTGACAGCATCCTCATTTTACAGCATTTTTACACAACTGCTTAAAACTTTTAACAGTAGGTAGGTTTCTTGAAGCATCTTGGAGACGTTGTCACCGTTCTTCTGGATTTAGTCTGTCTCAGTTTGTTCCGTTTCTTCTTGTCATTCCAGACAGTCTGAAATCCACTACTAGTTTTTGTTAATGATATTTAGAATCAATCTCTCTTTTTCTCATTTGATTTTGGTACAAAGTTCCCTCAACCTTCATAATACCTGTTCTGACAACTGAAACAACCAATCAGACAGGTACTGTACACCTGAACTCAGCATCTGCTGTCACTCATGTTTCAGAACTGCTTTTTAATTTTTTGTAGATGGTCACATTTAAAGTATAGGAGGCCATAATACTGTAGGTTTAGAGGTTATACATTATCATCATGGCCTTTCAGTTGTGACAATCTTTAATCATGACAACTTTTTGTAAACAAAGATGAATTACAATTTGAATTCCTTTTTCATATTTTTTGTTCCTTGTGTACTTTACAGAGCCACCCATCATGACCAACACTGCTGCTAAAGTGTTCACTGGAGTAGGAGCTTCGGTTCTAGTAGTAGCGGTTCTAGTAGTAGCAGTTCTAGCGGTCACATTTTTCAGAAGGGTAGGTATTACCACAGGAAAATGGTTTAAATTGCTATTTTACAGCTTTGCTCCTGAGAACTGCCAAAAAGGCCTTTATTATTTGGGATGCACCAATCCAATCCCTGGATATTTTCTAATTGTTTTGAAGTCATAAGTTGAGTAAAATGTGATGGCATTTTAATCATTGTTCAAAGCATAACAACTTTGCATCTGCTGCTGCATACTTAGTGTATGTATGTATTTATTTATTTATTATTTTAACTGGCTTGCCATGTTTTGTGGCTTTTCAAGCATTTGTCACCAATATTAAATGCATTTTAATATTAATAATGGATTTATTTATTTGTTTGTTTGAAAGAGGTGTTGTGGCCCATTGCCACACCAGCAGCATGCAAGGCCCATTGAGATGGAGAATTTCCTGCCAAATCCAGGTATGCATTTAAGCAGTTTTGAATTTATTTGGCTGTAAGCCGTAAGCCAGGTTTAGCTGCACCAGGCTTTTGATCAATATTTACACCTGTTGCACCATCTAAAACTGACTAGGCACAGATATACCTAGAATAGATGATGCACATTAACGCTGACCAATTCTACCACAGTAAGAGAGGCCATTCGCATTATATATATTGCTCATTAAAAATGTGAGCAAATTACATTCATCTTCATTACAGTATCAAATCAGCAGATAGACGAGATACCTCAACTTATATATTACAAATATCCAAGTGATCATTATTAAATCTGAGTACAGATTTATGTTTGTAAAGTATGCACATTCAACTTAATTCATACAGTTATTCACTGTGGTTATGTAATTGTTGTATACTATATTACCTTTATTATTACAGTAAAATAATTCAACAATGTTTTGGTTAACCATGTATTTCAAAACTCTTAAGAGAAATTAAACATTGGTTAAATTATCATTACATTAAAGAATATATTTGTGATATATATTGATATATTGAATATATTACAAGTGACTCTTAATTGATGTGCAAACTGTCATGTCAAGTAAAAATCCAGACAATTTGTGTTGTCCAGCCTGTAGCCCTTTAATTATTATTTCTCAAATACTGTGTTGGTCAGTGAGACATCAGAACATTAAAAAACACACTTCACAACTTTTTCAGAGAAATAAGTCACTGCAAGGAAGGTAATGCATGCGACTGAATCTTAATGTACTATTGATTTAAAGGTTTGTATTGATTGTATTCAAATCCATTTCTGTGAAAAATCTAATATATTTTCAAATAATCAAATAGAATGACCAAATATATTTTCATGCTTTAATATTTCCTGCATTGTTACATACATATATAAATAGCCTATAGGTGTCAGATTCAATATCAGATGTAGCGCTAGGCATAGATTGTGCAACAGGTATTAATTCTACATGCATTTTAAAAAAACCTGACATTTATAGAGATCAGATATTTGAATTATTTGATAGCTTTTGTCATTTTTCTCATTACAGATCAAGTGTAATAAAACAATAACGATGTTTACTTAGGACCAGACCATAACTGAAGAATAACACTGGCGTGTTATCAATCAAGTGCAATTGTTAGGTTTTCAGCTCTCTAAGCTCATATCTCTATTGTTTTATATTGTATTTTTTTAAAAGTAGTATTTATTTCTATTTATTTTATTTTTTATGTCAATTGTTTCTAATGAAGGATGCAAGTTACAGTACACTGTGTGTACACGGTCTTTTGTCAGTATTTGTTATTACTCTTATTTACCTTATTTACTAGGGCCTCAACTAAAGGGTACTAATTGTACTAAAGTGTCATTTCATCACGCTTGATGTATGACTGTATTTGCATTGACATCAGCCTGTTTGTTCGTGTGTGAACAGAGGAGCATCCAAATTACATGATCATTAAACCAAACCTGCAAAAAATGTCAAGAGCTATTTTGCACACACAAAGTCCTCAGTAGACTTTGCTAGTAGATCAACTATTTTGTGGCTGCTAGTTTGCACAAGTTTTTATAACTACAAACCTTTAGTAAATTGGGCCATAGTGTAATAACAAAATCAAGTGCTTCTAAGCATACTGACTGAGCCAATGTGTTTTGCATGCAATGTGTGTTTTGAACCTCACTTAGTTAAAAAAAAAAAACTTTATTAGAACAAGAAATCAATAGAGATTGGTTTTATTTTTTTATACCAATTATTAGTATGTTTACATATCAAATAACCGATAGAATTGGTTTGAATGTTACTTCAGATTTTGATCAATTTTATCTTTATATCCCATATGAATTCATATCTTCATATCAACAATAATACTAACAATTGGCAAAATAATTTAACATACTCTGATGTTTTCAAAAGGAGAACATAAATGACAGTTTGTCAACTCATTTTAAATTAGTTTCAAATTGTTTAGATGGCTTATTATCAGAATTATTATTTTCCCCATTTATTCTAATATATAAAACGGATACCTGGTTAAGGAAATATGCTTAAAAGTTTATTGTTCTGATCATTCAATCTCTAGAAATCTCCCGAAGCAGTGTTTCTCAACTCCAGTCCTCAGGAACCTCCTAGCAGCAGGTCTCACTAATTTCAGATGCCTCACTAATGAAAACATCGGATTCAGATCATCTGCTCTAGCGTGTTTTAGAGAGAGACATGCAAAACATTCAGGCAGGAGGATCCTGAGGACTATAGTTAAGAAACACTGACCTAAAGCCTGAATGAATAAGCTGGTCAGAAAATAATATAGAAGTGAAAAAAATAAAATAAATTGAAATTTTAAAAAATCTTTTATCATGGCACAATTCTAACCAGAGGTGGAAAGAGCATTAAAAAATCCTAAAAGTAGATATTTGATCATTTTATGACAGCTTTTCTAATAAGTTAAATAAGGGGTGGGAGGAAGTGCCCTCTCAGAACGGTCTAGGTGCGCCTGGCCGGAGCACGATTTCTACAGAGGGAAATCTTGGGCCGATCCATAAATCGCTTACTTTACCTTTAATGGTGGAATGATCTTCGTAACCCCATCAAAAAATAAATAAAATAAAATAATAAAAAAATAAAATAAAAGAACAAAAAAAAATGAAAAATGTGAAAAAAAGAAAAAAAGTATTGTATTTTTGCTATTAAAGCAATTATGTGCTAAATCATAAATAAATGCTACTCATTGCCCCCTTTTTTTAATTTTAGCACCATTTTGAATTTGAATGTAATTTTAAGTCATCCCAAGGTTCTCTAATTCTGTCACTTTTTGTAATAATGCTTTTTTCTTTTTTTTGTGATTACAATCCACACTTTAACGTTTAATACTCGGGAAACAAAATTACTTCTCAAAATATAATAACATTATTTTTTTGCATCAAAATAGAGTTTAATCTCACATCACGAGTGTAGTTATTTTGCTGGTTTGTTTAATTGGTCTGACATGTTTCAGAGTTCAGTTTGATATCACCTTTTCCCAGTGTTGCAGCAATAGCCTTTTATTTTTTTACTGTCAATTTTATACATTGTTACAGTTTATTGTTCCATCAGGGTTACTTTGTTGACAGTTCAATACTGTGTAACTAAGTTGTTTTTTTTTCAGAGAAAATTGGATAATCATGTTTTTGTAAGCCTAACCATTTGCACATTTTAAAGTTTACATTTTGTAACTGTCATTTTAGGACTCAAAATACTTTTGTGGGACAAATGTGAATGTCATTGCATAAAATGATCAAGTATCAGAGCACATGTCAGTATAGCTTTTCTAGGCTGTACTTCATTTATTTTCCTACTCTCTCTCTTTCATGTCTATATTTATTTGGGCCGCACAGTGGTTTAGTGGTTAGCACTGTCACCTCACAGCACAGTCTGTGTGGAGTTTGCATGTTCTCCCCGTTTTTGGAAGAAGTCTCTTCTGCTTACCAAGGCTGCATTTATTTGATCCAAAATGCAACAAAAACAGCAATATTGTGAAATATTCTAAAAATGCTTTTAGGAATGGTTAACACTTTTAGGAAAACCATGATATATTTTTCAGGGAAAAAATCTAATAGATTTTGAGTAGAAACCTTCTGTAAAATTCTAAATGTCTGTAGTGTTACGTATGATCAATTTAATGCATCCTTGTTGTATAAAAGTATTAAAATTATTAATAATTTTTTTCCTAACTCCAAACTTTTAATGGTAATGTATCATGGTTTCCATGATTTCTGAAGGATGTGAATCTAAAGACTGGAGTAATAGCTGCTGAAACCTTTTCCACCACAGGAAAGAATTTAAAATAAAATTCAGTAGAAAGGAGTTCTTTTAAATTGTAGTATTTCACAATATTATTGATTTGATCAAATAAATGCAGCCGTGGTGAACATAAAAGACTTCTTTGAAACTATGGAAAAAAATCTTGGCTATTACAAACCATGTTTGTAAGTGAGTGATTGATTGATTGCATGAATGACTGTCATTCTTGTCTGTCAGAGAGTTTCTGTGAGTCAGATTGGCTGTAATTACCACACACTGGGCTCTGACACGTACTTGAGCTCATAATAAAACAACAATGTCACATTATTGCCTAACGTCCTCCAGTAATGACTCTAACTGCTGTGCTGGCCTGTCGCTCTGCATGTACTCCCATTCACTGGCCTCTTTTGAAATCTCCATAAGATAATTATTGAGTTATCTGCTGCTCAAGCAAATCTGACTTGTCAACTGCTATTAATTGCTACAATATCACAAATTAATGCACATTCGCCAGTCGTATGAAAGCAGGCAGGAGGAGATTTCTGCAGGCCGATCCAGATATTCAGTGGCCTCTAACTTAGAGAGTTATACTGCACTGCAGATTAATTATGCAATTATGGATAAATGCAAAGTGGGCCAATCGACAGCACCATTAAGGCATACTCATCACTGAGGCACTGAGCAAAGAGAGATCTATGAGGCTGCTCTCTCCAACGGCAGGAGAGGAAGAGGAAAGTAACTCTTCAACTTCCTGGGCTGTTGCTGCTTCCTCTCATTCTCTCATGTTGCTGGAAGCGGAGGAGGGACTTTAAGGAATGATGTTCATACAGACACTCTTCCGCTAATCAGAGTTCCAGTTTGCCAAGTGTTTTGAGTTGAAGTTAAGAGAATCTGAAACCAAACAGAAACAATGAGGGTTCCTAGATTCATTTTGCTCGTGAACAGCTTTTACCAAAGCACGCTGCATTTCCACTGTCGGTTTTCACGTCTTTCTCTCTGTCTTTAGCTACCAGTTTTGACTGCTGAATAAAAGCAGCACTCATTAGCATTTCCTTCCTTGCTCGACTCTTATTAGATGCTGTCTCAAACCTCCACAAATGCAGATTTGACACGGTGCATTGTTTACATTGAGTTAGCAGACATCATTGCCACTGTCCAAATGAAGCTGTTTGGGTGCATAGCATCAGTGGATCAGTTCAGGTTTGGATCACTTTGTCTAAAAGTGTTTGTGTGTGGGTTTGGCTGCTGTGGATTGTTTTTTAGGGGATGAGAGCAGGATGCTGTAAGGACTTGAGACCTTTAATGTTCATATACAGTACGTTTTTAATTCTATTTATTACCTATAAAATTTGTCAACAGGATTTTAAAACAAAGTATTTTTAGGTTGCAGAAATACATCACTGCTCAAAAGATCTTGAACATTTTTATTCAGCAAGGATGCATTAAATTGATCAAACGTGACAGTAAAGACTTTTACATTACTACAAAAAAAAATCTATTTAAAATGAATGCTGTTCTTTTATTCAGATCATCTGCTCTAGCGTGTTTTAGAGAGAGACATGCAAAACATTCAGGCAGGAGGATCCTGAGGACTATAGTTAAGAAACACTGACCTAAAGCCTGAATGAATAAGCTGGTCAGAAAATAATATAGAAGTGAAAAAAATAAAATAAATTGAAATTTTAAAAAATCTTTTATCATGGCACAATTCTAACCAGAGGTGGAAAGAGCATTAAAAAATCCTAAAAGTAGATATTTGATCATTTTATGACAGCTTTTCTAATAAGTTAAATAAGGGGTGGGAGGAAGTGCCCTCTCAGAACGGTCTAGGTGCGCCTGGCCGGAGCACGATTTCTACAGAGGGAAATCTTGGGCCGATCCATAAATCGCTTACTTTACCTTTAATGGTGGAATGATCTTCGTAACCCCATCAAAAAATAAATAAAATAAAATAATAAAAAAATAAAATAAAAGAACAAAAAAAAATGAAAAATGTGAAAAAAAGAAAAAAAGTATTGTATTTTTGCTATTAAAGCAATTATGTGCTAAATCATAAATAAATGCTACTCATTGCCCCCTTTTTTTAATTTTAGCACCATTTTGAATTTGAATGTAATTTTAAGTCATCCCAAGGTTCTCTAATTCTGTCACTTTTTGTAATAATGCTTTTTTCTTTTTTTTGTGATTACAATCCACACTTTAACGTTTAATACTCGGGAAACAAAATTACTTCTCAAAATATAATAACATTATTTTTTTGCATCAAAATAGAGTTTAATCTCACATCACGAGTGTAGTTATTTTGCTGGTTTGTTTAATTGGTCTGACATGTTTCAGAGTTCAGTTTGAT